CTTTTGAAGGCTGGTGTGCTCAAGTTTTCGCCTTCCACAAACTCTGGATAGGGGTTGGGTGAATCTCACTTCGAAATCCAAAAGTATCATTTGTTGCCCAAAGACTCCACACGACCAAACTATCCCCGTCCTGCAGTCACTTCGTCACATCAAAAAAAACGGTTAGATCCTGCATTAGTTTCAAACCAGTATTGGTAAAAATAGTCGGGTCACACGAGAATGACAAACCTAATAGACTTTATATTGTTCACTGGCAACCGTAAAACACAACAGCAGTTAAAAAATCCACGAATACACAGTTGTAAGGATTCACGCAACCAATTCCGTAGACGATGAAATTTTGTATCACTTTGCTGGACCAAATGAACTATTACGGCAGTGCTAATCACTCAGTGTCGGGTGTTTCTGTTGGACAGGGACAACCGAAACCCTGGCAGTCTGGCGTCATTGTGTTTCCTCATAGAGAAGTTATCGTATATCTAGATAAGTCCCGAAATAGGTCACCTGTTGTGATCATAACACGAGCGTCCGTCTCCGGTGATTTCATCATGCAACCAATACAATTAAACATAGTGACGACAGAAGTGTGCGTATGTGTGTTCGTCTAAGACTTGTGTTCCGATCTAAATACGTTATCAGGTCTAAAAGGGTTTCCATACAAGTAAAAAATTTCAATCCATGCACAAAACCCGTAGCAGGATTTAGCTACACAAAAATTCAATTGCACAGTAAATGTGCCAATAAAAAATAACCCGTCAAACGTGGGTCCAAGTGGGATTTTCGGTCAAAGAACGTAGCTGTACACCACCAGATCACGGCTAGGAAGAAAGCTAGTTCAGCAATTAGCCACGTATAGATGGACATTGCTTAGACACAAGCGGTCATGGGTGACTAGTGACGGGCTACCCCCAGAGAGTGTACCGAAGGCCACAAAAGACTAGGGAAGGGGAACTGTAATGATGTGCGCAAACTTCTCATCCATCATTATAGCCATCAACATCGTCTGTGGCAATTATATGTCCAAAGGGTAGGGAAAAATTTCAGGAGAAAAAAGAACCCTAGAAGTAATATACCTATGGAGATCAACCTTATTGCTTGCAAGCAGAGTGAGGTCCGGAACCTCGAGTTTAGAATCAGCACCAGAGAGGGTGTTCGAAAACGATTAAAAAAACAAATTAGTCGACCGTCATCCATACGGCATCACAATAGGCAGCAAAATGGAACTCATTGGTTGCTTCTCGACTTATTAGGTAGGCCCTGAACGGGCTAACGTACCCCTTTGGGATTTGTTAATTGGCTTTTGAGTACCAAAACACTTCGTGTACACACGATGGACTCGACTGGATGTGATTAGCGCGAATTAATGAGTCGCTCATCTAATTTATACGGAAAGAGGTATTCCTAAACTGGGCGCTCAATGAACTTAGGAGAAAAATGCCAAGACGATCAACTCAGAATCATATAGTATACGGAATGCATTAACGGAAAAGATAAAAACCCCGACAGGGTGTAATAGTTTATGCAGACATAAACCCAGCACTTTCACCTAGCGGTTTTAGTCAGTTGCTTATGCTGCTAATCACTAATAGAAGAGTAGAAAGTTGAAAGCAGTCTCGGAGAAAAGATATAGAATGCATCCACATTAAATTTAAGAGTAAACCGAGCTGAAAATCTCTCCATTAGGCTGAAAAAACCAATTTGTAACTTAACTTGGATGCTGTTAATTCAGCTTGTCCAACCAACGATTCAATTAATTTGGACGTCCCCACAAGGAGAGGGAGCAACAAAAGTGCACTCAGAGGTTGGACTTACCAATCCATATCAAGCATACCGCCGCAATGAGCGATACTCTGTTGTACTCGTCGAGCAAATGCAATGCCATCTTCTTCCGGACGTATTCTGGTTGGTGGTAAATACCACACATCGACTACCATAGCCCATGAAGTCATCATTTTGAAAGTGTACTGTAACAGACTGTCTTGACTACTGTTCCAGAAACAATCTGCAAACAGGGGGTTGTACTGCACAGGGGTGGGTGTAACAATGAGAGGAATTCAGAGAGAGAGAAAGAGGAGAAAAAACATGATCCACAAGTTGCTATGACAAACACGCCCGAAGTGGACATGGCAATCATTACCATGCAAACGCACAATCGGCTCAGTGGCCCACGGACGTGCATAAACATGTGTACATTCGTGACTCGACTTGGATCAGGGACAGCAGCCCAGGATAATTACATGGCAACATTTATTCAAGGGTATGAAGGCACTGCCAAGAACTCATTCCGTGACTGGAATCTATGGCCAAACGAAGGCTAAAAACTCGGTCGAACGTCCGAAAGGAATAACGACCAGGGAAATGCGTTCTCCGAGAGCTATGTTGAAGGAGTGCAGAAATACATGAGTTTCGCTCAACTCGATATCACCGCATTCGAGGAGACACGATCTTTGAATATCAAATATTGCAACAAACGAACTCTCGGGGTCAATCACTGCTAATACGCATTTGGCGAGAGAAGCTGGCGAGCTAATGTGATACGCCAGAATACGAACTACCTGGAACTCTTTTTCACTTCAAGATTTATGTGATCTTGTTGTTTATTTTCGGGTTCTGAGAAGGTATTAGAAAGTCTTATTTATTTGGAACATATCTGAATGAACGCAAATGCTGTTCAACTCATTTTTGCCATCCTTCGAACCCGTTAAGCGATGCCATACGATAGGCGTCAATTTTGTTCGTTTGCCCAAAATAAATGTTGAAATCAAACTGCAGAAATGGCTGAGCGATAAGTTTCCGCGAGGGAACAAGCAGTGATTCAAAAAACAATATAAAGGTGGAACGGAAGTGCACAAGACAAGAAGGGGACCGGATTTTTCTAATCCTTGTAGAGACATACAAAAGGTCAACCACTGATTTCCACAACAAAACAATGAACAAGCCCAAAAGATATAAATGATATAGAATGAAGAGGCAAGTTCGCATCATATGGAAAGAAACCAGCATGTCTAGATGAAATGAGCAGTAGTATTAGTAATCGCGATGAATAATAAGAGCTATTTTCTTACACACACACCAACAAACGACAAAATTTCAAGGCAATTTTGCATTCTACGAATGATTTACATCAGCTCCTCCCCAAACTGGCGCCAACAGTGTTCAAAGTTCCGAGCTCGTTGGTTCCGAATGATCCTTACAATAATTAACTCCAGTTCGTTATTTCTTTAACTGTCACAAACAACGGCTTTCCACACCACCACCACGGGTATGTGGAATTATTAGTATATCGGGGCACCATCACTAGAAAAATGTGTTAATTTGACACATGCGTAATGGAAGTCACATGTTCCCTTCGAATCTGATCAGGCGGATTTCACATGTTTCGAGACTACAGTGATGATATACACCGTTCATCATAAACAAAAGTCAACCCCGGTTCCCAGGCGAAAACAAACGTCGACTGTGATGGGCGAATGGAGCACCGGACCAAGCAGTGTTGGATGGTAGACTAGAGTAAGATACGATGGTAAGCAACAGAACACGTCGTCAGGACGAGTGAGATGAGTCCAATACGGAAGCTATTCTGCACCATAAGTGAAATGGATTTAATACAGCATTTTATTGTTTTCGCGCCGCGAGTGGTGGAGAGAGCACATTACTAACAGGGGAATTCCGTATGCAAGTCAAAAGCGATGAAAATTCCTTCCCAATGGGTGATCAGCTCTAATGTGAATATACCTCAGCTTCGTGGATAAATCTACGGGAAAGCTCCGTAGAAAGTATAGCCCCGGTAAGCTAATCCTTGACCGTAACGTTGGTACACTAACTGTATTCTACTAATGTGAGGTGTAGGATGAGCATAACCCGGAATTTCATGGAGAAGGAGGCCAATCAAAATTCTGACCTGCGAATCGCTGGTTCAAGCACCGGTTTTGAACAGCGAGCATTGGTATTCAAAGTATATGGGCCTCAATAACTTTGCAAGGTGTAAGTTCATTGAAGGCAGCATATACAATAAGTATTTTTCAGAAAATTTTCTTCGTATTTTGTTTCCTATACTATGCATCACAACTTGGATTCTTAAAAAAAAACAGATAATCGTCCTTGGTCCATGAATTTTGGGAGTCTTGTTTAAACTGATCCCCGAGTCTTCCCATTTTAACTAAAACAGGGGTTGGTCGCGTAGCATTCCTTTGTTTTTGTGAATGAAACATTCCGATTCGCTATCTAATTACACATAGGGCTGCTTTCACAATAAATTATATAGAGTATTTCACTCAACGACATATCACGGAGCATCGTTTGCGTCCACCAAATGGGCCGTACATCGAGTGCATTTTGACTAATCTTAAGCATATTAAATCACCAGGCACATTAAACAAGACAAATTAGATTTTAGTGACTCAAAGCCTCAGTATAGTTGGAAGTGAGTGCCTCGGATTGTGGCTGGTGACCCAGTTCGATCGAGGAGTATAGGACACCTTGGATGCTCGACCCCGTCCAAAGGGTGTATGATCCGATGAACTTGTCACCAGCCCCCAATGGATTGCAGTTCTCACACCTCAACTCTCCGCCTTGCGAATCAGGTTTTCGATAGTTAAAAGCTCCGGTTGTGAACTCCCCAAGAAAATCTACTTGTTCTGAATGTTATAGTGTTAATAACACAGTGATGTCAGTAGAGAATTATATTCGCCGACGTTTCGGTTACCGTGGGTAACTTTTCTCAAGTCCGGTTTTACAATCAAGTGACTCAGAGGAAAGGATCACAAGTTAACGGATATTTTATCGTGTGTGTGTCTCTGTGTATAAATGTGTGTGTGGTGGGCTAAATGATTCTTTGTCCGTCATACTAACTTGTGATCCTCTCCTCTGAGTCATTTGATTGCAAAACCGGACTTGAGAAAAGTTACCCACGGTAACCGAAACGTCGGCCAATACAATTCTCTACCGACATCGCTGTGTTATTAACACTATAGCATTCACAATAAAACAACACATGGCGCATCGATTTTTCAATACACTCCTAACATCATTTGGCCCTGATGTGTTAAAAAAATCTACTTGTCTTAGGCTGGACAACCGAGCAGTATGGTGATTATGTAACTTTTTCCTTTCATAAAGATCATGCAATCTTGATTTATTTAGCACATTGTCTGAACCCAGACGTGTGTGAAATATGAAGTACACACACTGACTTAAGGTCCGAATACGTGTAAGAGCCCCAAATGGTAATGAAACAAGACACAAGTATACTAAACCTAAAGATTCCACGTAGTTGAAGCTTCGATTGTTGTACTGACTGGTTTATCCTTCAGTCCCTTTTTCCCGCGGTCTTCTGGTTGGTGTGATACCGTAAAATCTCTCTCTTCTTTTTGTCTTGTGTCATCCTATCTATTCGACGGAATTACTGGATGTTGGAACATTGTGTTTCAACCCAGTGCAAATTTTCAGTTTTTCTCTGAAGAGGGACACACTGTTTCCTGAAGTTGCAATGATGATGCTGCCTAGCCTGATTACGAAGCGTCTGCAAACAACACTTTCAGCTTAGATAACTGTTAGGA